TATTGATATATTCGGCTTAAAAATAACTTTAAAAAACTCAATTGATGAATTTAAATTCAAAAATTTGAAAAAAAATAATCAATTTCAATATTACTTTGCGATGATTGGTCGAAAATCATTTTACGAATAATAGGCGTGGTTATTTTAGTAATAGTTTGTGATTGGTCAATTTTTGTTTTTTAATCGAGAAAGTTTTAATCCTCTTATCCAATTAACAAAAGGAATTGTTTTTGAAGGGCGTTCCCTTTCATAATGTCTGAATTTAAAAAAAATTATTAGGAAATGTTACAAAATAACATATAAATTATTTCGTTAAATATTTAAGTCATTTTAATGTAATTAACTCTTAAATGATCAATATAAGATAAATTAATATCAAAATCGAACTCATGGTTTTAATGAAGGTAAGATTTTTGGAAAGACCATTTAGTAATTTATAAATCGTGTTTAAAATAAGATTTTAAAGTATTTATTGTATTGTTTATATACTAAGATATGCTAAATTTCACAAGTTAACTATTTCTAAAGTTGCTTTCTGCATATAAATCCTTCATTTTATTTTATCAGCTGATATATAGCAGAGGGAAAGAATGGCAATCGGTGAAAAAGTGAGCCCCAAGATCTTTACATTTTTTGGACTCAGGGACACTTGAAACGTGAAGAAATGCAAAAAATATTTGTTTCTTTTCCTTCCTAACTGTACGGATGTTAGTGCTTGGAAGCATAATTTTGTTCTCCAAATTTGAAGCTTAATAACTCTTGTGCCTTCTGTCGAAAATTTCTGAAATTTTTCATGGTGGTTTATGTATTAAAGACATAGATTCTATTAAATTTTTGTGGTTAAAGGTCGAGTGATGTGGAGATGGAGAGGGATCATATGTCATATATCTAATGGGATCGACAAATTTACTTGTTATTAGCATTTATAGATTTTTATAAAACTCATCCCTACTTTCAAAATTAAGCATTTTGTAATTTTAAAATAATTTAATAGTGCATCATAACGCCACTTTCTCCCTAGCGGAGTAAAATATAAATTAAACTTTTATCATTTGATTTTAATTATGATTCATTCAACGACGGTTACTAAGGGAAGAGAATTCGAATTATTGCGTATTAGAGGGCCATTTTTTTCCTTAGTTGGGTAAAGTACAAATTAAATCTTTTTTTTTTAATGAAGCTTCATTCATCAAAAATTAAAATTCTATATGAAACATCGAATCTAAATTAAGATTGTGTAAGAAAACTTAAAGCGGATACATTAAATTCTTAAATTTAGTGATAGAATTCGATTACGTTGAAAGAATGATCTTTACGAGAAGCATTTGTCTCGAAAAGTGTCCAAATGTGTCGAGACGATTGCCCCCAAAATGGCTATCTAAAAAAGATATACGGTTCATAGATAGCCTAGTAAAAAAAAAAATGGAAAAAATCTTTACTATGTCCAGGGATATCTTTAATTACGTCACAAAATAAAATACCTTTTTTTGTGTGTCTTCTTTCTCTTCTTACATTACTTAATAACGTCTAATTATTTACCAATTAAAAAATAAGGAATGTTAAAAGATTAAAACTTTAAAATTCTTTTAAGTAATTGTTCAATTTTGTTTGCACAAGTCGTTTTGTGTGTTTAAAGTCAAACGAATTGGCTAATTAAAAGAGTTTTGGAACGTTCCATGATTCTATTTAAGGGATTTGCTACACAAATAGAAAAATCCCTTTTCTACCAAAAGACAAATAAAATTCGAGATATTTCTAACTTTCCAATTTCCTATTTAGGTTAAATTATTTAGAGATAAGAAGCATATATATATTTAATACTGTAAATAAGTCATTATAGTGATGTATGAGAGGGTATGACATGTGATCTATACTCTGCCAATCAAACAAGTCTAACAGAGCACTCCAGCAAACCGGAATTGCCGCTATTATTTCTCTTTTGCATCGAAGATTTAATCTTAGATTTAAAATAAATTTGTGTATAGCATTCTAAAACTTTATAAGAATAATAAACACTTTGCTACGACGATAAATCGTTAATTTGAGAGCGATTTACTGAAAACTTTTTGGTAAAAAAAAGAACACATTACCGATAAAATAATCGATTTTTTAAAAATATATAAATCTAAAGCATGCTTTTTAGATTTAGAAAGTATTTAAATCATTCCGAAATTTTCGTTATTTTAGACGATATTTTTTTACCCGTCGCTGTGTCAAATCGAAGAAAATCGAAATAGTTTACGTAAATTCCCATTACATATTAATAGAAAGATTGTATTTTTAATGATTTATAAGTATTGAGATAATGTTAGCGGGCAGACAAACTGACGCTCCGGAAATTGTATATAATTACGTACATTGCTGCAAGCAAATTTCTCTAAAAATTCTAAAATTTAGATGATTATTTTCAAATTTAAATTGATTTTTTTTATAAAGTTTTTTACATTAAAACGAAACGAACAAATTTCTTACTTTCTTAATGAATTTAAATAATATTGTATCACGAATTTAATTATGTAAGAAAAAAATAATCATTTTTAAAGTATTTTCTATTGAAAATCATGCATATTAATTGTGATGAAAGGAAACAAATCCAATAATCTTCATCTACATCCAAATACAGGAGCATTAAAGGATAAATCAGCATCTAATGGATATTATTAGAAGTGTGAGGATTGGATATGTCATTCTCAGATTGTTTGTCTTAACAATGTCATCACAATTATAGATTGATAATTTCTGATTGAAAAAGGAGGATAGAGTTTAAAATACAACCTTTTATATATAAAATTTATGAACCCAAGATTTTTGAAGCTTTCTCAATGGTGGTAATGTAAAAAACACACGTGGAAAAATGGGATTTTGAACACTAAATAGTATTTTTAAGTCTTGATTGAAATTTGCATCACTTTGAAAATGTCAGTTTGTTTCTCTGTATGTCTGAGATCAGTCTAATATATCCATTAAAGTCTATGAAAAATGGATAATTTTATGGATATAATTTAGTGGTTTTTTAATGATCCAATACAGAAATGTATTATGAAGATTTTGATATATTGGCATGGTGTAATAAGCTCTTATCAAGTGCCTAGTATTTCTAGAAGCCTCATATATACACTAAAATGTATAGTACTTGTCGATACTCCGTGGTTGAGTATTTGCTAGAACCAGTAAAAGGTATGTCCCTTTTCCTTCTATTAAATAATAAATTTTAAAACAAGCCAGGCAGTAATTTGTATCTTCATAGCTTGAGATCTAAGCTTTAGCTTGTTTAGTTTACATCTGAATATGGCTCTGAATAGAATCGTTAACTTTATACTTAAAAAATCGATACGGGTTTTACATTCTATCAATTCATAGAAAGTCTCAAGTTCACACTTGTCTAGGGCATCTCTTAATCAAAAATTGCTACTGTAAATTGGGTGAAGTCGATTCGTTTCTATAACTGATTGCATGTAGAAGCAATACAACAGCCATTTCTTTTTTTAATTTTATAGAAATTTGTAAAACATTTTTAGAAGAAAAATTATTGGCATATTATATTATTCTATTATTTCTTCATTTATTTATTGGTTTCTGACTATAACTATTTAAATTTTGCATTATTTTGTACAACATTGAAAGGCGGCATTATTGGAATGCTTGCAATATTCGTCGCAAAGATTCAACATAAATGACTACTTACTTTTTATACATTTGAAAATTATACAAGCCAGACGGCTAGAGATTTTTTTAAAAATATATTAAATTTTTAAAAGCGAAAAAATATCAAAACATTTCAACTTGACTGATATCTCGACAGCCGTTATCAGTATTTTTGAAACAGTTCCAACAGAAATTTGATAAATATTTTAAATGTCAAAAATTTTAATTTATTTGAATAAATTAATACATATTTAAGTAAAAAAAAATTATAATTTTAACATTAAATAATTGAATTTGAAATTAAAAACATTTATGATGGCAAATATGGTATATCGAACCATCGTTGTGCACATGTTAATTTAATAAAAGGCCATTATTAATTATTCAAATATTTTAATTTTTTCAGTTACCTCTCATTTTGGATTCTTTTGGATCCGCTACTACCTTACCACTTTAAGGGCAGAAAGAATTAAAATTTAAATAAAAGTACGAGAATCAGTTTGAAATTATCTATATAAAATCAATACAGTATTTAAATTTAAATGGTAAGATATTTGCCTATTAATGGTCTTTCATCTTTCAACAGATACTAAGAGATATACGAAAAATTTGATACGCTATATTGAAGTTTACTGGAAAATCTTGATATAGCGTATTACTCAGCTGGTTACAAGTGATTTATTGAGAACTGACTTGATAATCATGCCGCATATATATGATAACTGCTCGTTTTTTAGTAATAATATATTAGTTTTTGAGATATTTTACATATGAAAGCATTAAAATATTGTTTTTCTTTTTGAAACATTGTTTAGAGAGAGAGAGAGAGAGAGAGAGAGAGAGAGAGAGAGATTTAAAAAAATCAAAATTGTCACAGCATTAGGGAACCCTTTAATTTTCTCAATATAGATTCGATGTAGTAAAAAAAAAATACTTTGTAAAAATAAATGACTCTAGAACTTTTTGAAATTATCTGTAAAAACACCCACTCAAACAAAATCTGTTGTTACGATTTGCATTACGTTCTTATGATAAATTGTTTGCGCGCTTTTTCTTTTCTTCAACAAACCAATGATTCACTCTGTTCTTTAAATAATAGGTCAACGTAACCCTAGAGTATGGAATAACACTCTAGGGACAAAGAATTGTATTGAATCACACTTATCCATTAGTAACGCGAGATTTTTATAAAAATTCTTAAGTTTTAACTTTACCACAATGTTACACAAAAGAGAAAATTCTAAATTTAGACGAAATGAATTTAAATTTTATATTGTTAAAAAATCCTTTTTTATTATTTTATTTCTTAAGAAGAATAATCTAGAAGAAAGAATCGATAATGTCTATTTTTACAGCAAGAAGAGTGAGAGAGAGTAGCGGCTTACTGGACACATGAAAGCCAAGGTGACTTAAGAAATGGCCGGAACCTGATCCGAAGGTAGACTGGATGGTCAAAGGTGTCAGATAACTCAGTGTCAGCATGTTTTCCAAGTTTAAGCCATCGCCACCCACCCCCTTAGAAGCCAATCCTATCACTCAGTATTACGAGATAGGAAGACAAATCGCTAGCGCCGGTCCTGAATTGGTATGGAAAGTATACGAAGCAGTCAGAAAATCGGACAAGAGGGTACATAATAATATTAAAATTTAATTTTTGAAATTTATTAACTTAATTTTAAACCATATACATATATTGCTTAAAAATTATCTCGACAAATTTCAAAATTTTTGAAAAATTTCCCGTGTAATAAAATTTTAATTTAAAAAAAAATTCGGAAAACATTATCTGGCAACACTATAATTTTAAACAAATGGCGTGACGTAATGGCTATCATTAAGTTACGTCATTAAAATTTTATCCAATCGCAAGTTTTGTTTCAAAAATTCAAATAATAAACGTTTTATTTGAAAATTGGACCCATGAATAAATTAAATTTAAATGAATTATATTATATTTAATTTAAAAAAATTTAAAAAAATTAAAGTAATAATTGAATGTTAATTAAGTTGAAATATTTAGTAAAATTTAATATAAAATTTATATTTTGTAATAATGATATATTTAGTAAAATTAATATTATTTAATATTAAAACATTTAAAATTATATAATTAAAACTTAAAAATTAACTTTTTAAAACAGTATTAAAATACATTATAATTATTGAAAATTATGCAAAGCAGAATTTCCTCT